TGATTGGTTGATTCTTTATTTTATCAATGGAACCCAAGAACGTGTTCGGTCAGTTTCCTGTTGATCAGTCAGGTGATGAGAATCAATTGGCATGCCCAGTACAAGCACTACGAGCTATTCAGCAAGCGCTGAGCAGCTCTCTCATAGTCAGAGAAGATCGTCGCGCGTAGAGTCGTCGCGCGCGACGTACAATCGGCGGAATCGCCAGCAAAGGTGATACTGGGGCTGTGGTTTTCGAAGGGTGGCATCGTTGAGGTGAGTTTGTTTTGTTTTTGTTCCGATCGAAGTTGGAGAGCTGTGATGACTGACCTTTCCCGATTACACCACAAGTCACATGGAGCGTCAAGCCAACAGCGGCTTAACAAAGCAGGCGGCTTGACGCTCCTGGTCCTGAGGCCAAGCTAACGGCAGCATTGCCAGCTGTTGACCAGCTGCTGCCGTTGGCCAGCCTGTCTGGGCGGGCCTACGGAAACGTGGTCAAGCCCAACCAGCTCTTGACCGCGGGGTCAAGCTGACGGGGCGCCATTTCCCAAACCCAACCCGTGGTGTACAGGCAGTTGGACTCGCGTGACAGCTCTGTTGTTGTCTGTGACAGCCGGCCGACCGAGGGGCTGACGTAGTCCGGGGTGAGGCAATCGGATAATGGTCGTCATCAGCCAGAACCTCGGGCTCAGACTCAAAGACTCAAAGTTGAAAACCGTACATCTCCACTCAAGACAACTCGAAAGTTTGCCCAAGAAAACTCAATCTCACGGTCAGCAATCAGTATACTACATCGAAGATGCCACTGGAGGTAAGTTGGGCTCTTGTTCTTTGTTTAGTCTTTGATCTTGACGCCCCAAAACATTGGAGTGTCGAAGTTGTAACTTACCTCGTTTGATTCTCCAACCCCATCACAGGCTACTATTTGCATGTCCGTTTATTTCTTTTTTTTCATATGTCCTGCATTTATCTTCTTCTATCCAGATAACCGTTGCGATACGACTAACACAAGTTACCTTACAGGCTCGATAACTCGGAGTACTCGTCAGTAAATTCTACAATTCACCATCACAAATAGAAAATCGCGTGTCTCGAGGACATGAATATGGACGGAATAGGTGTCTGATCAAATGTGGTTGTTTTTCTGGATTACCATAGGATCAACTCCGATATCATTCCGACTAGATTAGAGGCTGCGGCAGACGCTGTCAAGGCTATTTTCAAAGCCAAAACGAACTCGTAAGCTGTTCTTGTATGGGTTGCTTAAAATTTATAGTTAAATAATCAGGCCTTGGATCTCAATTTGCTAGGAATCCTGAGAGTACATGTGGATTGATGACATTCGCGGGAAAAAGGTGAGCTTTTCGACCCACTTTCCAACCCAAGCAACCCCCCGATTTCAAGTACTACACTGACACTCAGGTTGACTTCTACATCACATCTCAGCCCTACTGTGTTGGTGACCCCAACCACAGATGAAGGTAATTGAAATATTACAGATCTTATAGACTATAATGAAACGATCTGCCCGACACTTTCTAATCGGCTGCAAAACAGGCAAGATCCACGTCTCCTTGCAGGGTATTAAACCGAGTGGGACGCCCGATCTGATTTCCGGATTAAGCGTCGCTGGTCTTGCGCTCAAGCACCGTCAAGAAAAAAATCAACGTCAACGGGCCATCGTTCTCCTTTCATCTCCTTTGCCTCCCAATTTGACAACAGAAGAACTCACTCGAATAGGAAAGAAACTCAAGAAAAACAATGTCGCAGTCGATGTGGTCTTGTTCGGATCTGAGGTCACGACTAATGAGGAGCGTATGCGCGGGTTTGTCAATGCAGTCGAGAGTGGTGGAAATTCGACGATGATTGTTATCCCAGGTGGTTTACCGGGCCTATTGAGTGATCACATCAAACAGAGCGATATCCTTGCCGAAGAGGGCTTTGGAGCTGCTGGTGGATCGGGTGCGGGAGCCAATGGGGACGGGATCGGAATGGCCGATGGGGGTGGTCTGGATATGGATCCTAACCTTGACCCTGAGCTTGCGATGGTAAGTACTTGCTTCGCTCTAAGTCTGTTTTATCAAATTTGACGATTTGTGAGTTCCGCTTGGCGCCTGATAGGCATTAAGGATGTCTTTACAAGAGGAAGAAGCCAGACAAGCAGCAGCCACAAGACAACAAGCAGGCACTACTTCTTCCGGCCCTTCGCAAGGTACGGCCGAAGCTGCCACTGATGGACCGCGGCAAGAAGAGATGGCAGATGTGAAGATGGCACCCGAGTCAATGGACGATGAACTAACAAAGGCTTTGGCAATGAGCAGGGGTGAAGATGTAGAGTGAGTACAGATTGAGACCAATCCAAATTTTGATTATATGTTTTTGTTGTCATCCAACACAACAAATGCATCAACAACGAATGCATCATTAGTTTTCAAATTCGATTGACTGATTCTTTGTTGTCACCTTTCCTCGCAGAATGAATGATGCAGAAAGCGGAGTGAAACCTGAGACAGGAGGAGAGATGGACGAAGACGAGGATTTGACAGAGGAAGAAGCAATCGCCAAGGCTATTGAAATGTCAATGAAAGGAGACTCGACAAAAAAATGAAATGAATGATTTAATGTACATTACTCGTCAATAAAAATCTATCCAATATACATGCACCGCTCCGAGCTTGTTTGTTTTCTTTGAAAGTTGAAATACAGTGGTAATTATTTCTGATTAGGAAGTGATGATCATGAAACAAAGCTACGTTATGAATTCCCATACCTCAAGGCTACAATTCATCTGGTTGAATGGTCAACGCACAATTTGCTTGAGTTGGAGGTATATTATTTGTCTGACGGGTTAAAGCAAAGGTATTGAAAGTAAATGTAGTATTCAACTTGAGCTGTTATGAGTATGTTATACCTGTATGTAAGAAATTATTTTGTTCCTGATGTTAGTTCTGTGGGCAATCATACAACAGTGAGTGTGTATGTCTTGCCTAGTTTAGGAATTTATGAAAAGCGTGGCTAGCTCGATTGAGTAGGTGATCTTTGCTTGGCCGCGGGAGATCATCATCAAGGCTGTACCACAATTGTGACAGGGGCACCAGACCACAAAGACAGGATATTAGTTTTCAGGCTATTGAGGTTTTACTGCACCAACGGGTTGCAAGATCACTGGTCCAACTTTACACGTGCAAACTGTGTCTGCTGAAGGTATGCTGGAAGGGCCCCACATAGTGCTTATCAAACACCCCTAGAGACTGGCTAAATGTCAATCCAACATTTATCCGGAAAAATGCTGCACATGAGGTGGCCTGAAGGGTCACGAGGCAGTTGAGTGTCAAGTTCAACAACATAGTCTCTTTTTTACTTGTCGATGAGGCCATGCTTCAAACTGATTACTGAGGCTTATTCCATATTGCAATTCACAAGTCCTCTGAAGCTTGTTGGGTGGACCTCCAAATCTAACATAGCCCCTCTCAAGCTTTGGGGGCGGGAGCTAACTGCGAAAGGTGATGGATGGCCCGTGTGGAAAGTGAGCCCCAGGGAAACAAACAGGTGCTTGTAACAACTTTCCGACAGCTTGGAAAGATGAGATTTGAATATCATGGCGAAAAAGTTGAAGAGTCAAAGCAATCCTGAATTAGGCAAAAAGACTTTCATGACGAAGCTGACAGCCACCCTCTGTGACAGGGAGGGAATTGTCCAATAGAACCCTTATATTCATAACGAAATAGGTAACCTCCAAATCGCAAGACCTCATACGAGCGACCTCGTCGCAACTCATAATTTACCCTGGGGGACTTCATCAGCTTCGGCACACGAATTTGATAAGCTTTGAATCGATCTTCCTACGGTATAAACGTCCCTTCGGCCTCCCGAGGAGCGATAGAATACTTCACAAATGTGGTTTTCATGAATTCAACATTCACTTTCCACTTTTCTCGGATTAGATATGCGCTTTGGAAGCATGTTCCAGTTGTCTAGTAGAGCGAGATACCTGATTGTCACAAGGTGCACCTATTAGCCGTTGCAGTCAGCAGTATCCGGAATGTATAAATACTTATGTTTCGACTTACCCGCAGTGCGAAAAATAAATCCAGATGAGAATATAATTAGCATTTGATTATCACCCTGCTTTGCACAAATGGCAAGCTATGATGCAGAGGAAACTCATATCTTGCGAGTGGATTGGTTTTGTCGTCCATTGGCACTCTTTGGGAAAACCAACACTGGGGTGTTCTGGAAAAGGAGGAATGCAGTACATGAAGTTTGCAAAGCCATCTGGGGGGATTTACAGATTTTCGAAAAGGAAAGAAAGAGCTGAACAAGCATGGGTCGATAGGACTCGTGTCCAATCAAATTATAGACAACAACAACAACAACGTACCAAAGCCGATTAAATAAGGCCTTGAGCTGTTGTAGCAAGAGCAAAAAAAAAAAAAAAGATGAAAACAGGTTGAGTCGCATGCTCGAGCATTCACTTCAATCACATCCTTCTCTAGATGGAATTGTCAAGCTGGCTTCGGTTTCGAAAAATATTCACCAAGACCGCATGCAGAAGAAAGTTGGTCCAAGTTGATCAACGACCCGAAGCACGCCATGATTGCCAATCAGAAACCCGAATTTTCTCCGGAGGGCTAATCGTCATCGATGACCATCTAATTTCTCTATCTGTCATTCCAATCATCAAAAGAGGCAATGGTTCAGCCGAAGAGACGTACATTCCTTCTTCATTGCTTAACCTATAGCTGATCAGACGATAAGGTCTTATTCAGCAGGCTCACTAAATCCTACCAATATTGGGCCAGGCAAGAAGAAGCCGTATGGAATCTGAACGTCAGCTGATCGATCAAATGTGATCATTGCTTCTCTGGACATATTCGACTGACCTTCAAGCCATGAAGCATGTCTAACATTCTGGATTGGTATGATAGGGTATGATCGACAAATAAAATCGGAGTTAGAAAGCATCATGTACGCATCACTATGACTGGCTGTATATATCAGCAAGCTTAACTGATCGTGTTGTTACAACACGCGCCCCCGCTCAGCTTTTGTTTCTGGTGGCACGTTTTGAACCATGCCTTCTGCACCCCCTAGCCGGAAGCTACGAAGCAATGCTGAGGCTCTCTGAGGAGATAATGTTTTGAAGGGAGTGGGCCCTGGGTCAGGTGGAATCGGCCCATCAATATATTCTTGCATGAAAGATCCTGGGGGGTTGAGATTCGACTGCCGATCCGGGATGCCTGAACTCTAAGCAGGCACAGGCATCCGAGCGGACCGGAGGTTTATCAAGTTTAAGACGACCGACCATTCCTGATCGTGCACCCGCGGTCGCCGGCGACACATACAATCGGCCGGGACCAACCGAATTCCTGCATACATACATATATATACGTGTCAGTTGGTCATCCTGCTTATCGAACCCAAACCCAGATGTATGTACAAAATGAGTCACCTGTCTCAAGGAGGACTTGTATGAGTATGTATTGTGTGTCTAAACAGGTCTAAACCAAGTTCGAGGAGGCTGATGGACACATTTTCAAGAAGTCGTAAGGTGTCGAGGAGTCACGTTCGCAGTTGGGTGAGCAGGAGTTTGGGCTTCCTGTGGTTGGTATGGATCCTGAGTCTCTATGATGCTAACATTTAGCTCAGCGCGTGTCCATATTTGTGTGGACTCGACTGAAGAGGTGAGGATGGTTCGATGGAGGATGGAATACGAATTGCTGCAAAGTGACTGTGACCGTTGAACGAGAACCTTAGGATGTATTTATGTATGTACAACGGAAAGAGTACATACATAACGTTAATCGACTATACTACAAGAGCATGTATCGGTCAGTTGAAGTTCTGTAGGATATCATATTCCCCATATCTTTTCAAGCCCGGTCTGTTGATGTACAATGTGTGTATATCATGAAACACTAACAAGTTGCCACTGTCCTTGGACAAGTCGATACTTGAAGGGTTGAATTGATCGAATACAGTCACCTTTTCTCCATATACAGCTTCTCTCGCTCCATCCGGATCCCCAAATTCAGAAATCAGCATGGTCAACTCCGACCGAGAGTGATTGAAATTTGAAAGCGGCTGGCTTGGAGTCATCTTGTATTCGAACTGGCTCGAATGATAGCGCCGGTGGCATAA